GCATAAAATTAGAATACTAGTCATAAGTTCTTATACAAATTTTACGAGAACACGTTACGAGTCTTACGATTCTGCTTAGAATTGATCCATTAAACTCTTATTTGTTGTGTATTCACATATTAATATAAATCGTTTATTATTATTTAAATCAAGATTTTTATTAAATCGAAATAATAATAGCACAATTAATAAAACGTGTTTTATCTGTGTGTCGAAAATAAAATAATAGTTTTAATTCTTAGTTCGCAAATACTTTTATTTCAAAATACAAAACATAACAAAAATAAATAAAATTTTTATTACTCATTACCTATTTGCATTGTTTCTCTCCATATTATTTTTTGTAGACTTCTTTTTCTTTTAGAAAAAATTCTCCTCGTTAATTTTTTATTTTAGTAAATCTTACAGACATTATACTCGTATGGTATCTAACGGGAAATTTTTTTGCGTATCAATGTATTTTTTAGCTCGTACAAATGATCTATACGGAAAACTGTCTAAACTTAGCTGCATGAGGCACAATCACCGAAACAATGACATTTTCTTATGCACGTGTAACTTTTGTTTGGCTATCGTAGTCAGAGATGAAAATAAGAGTCGGCAGGTTTTCGAGCGCCAATATTAGGAATGATTAAATATTTTCATACTGGGCACGACTTCGTTGCTACCTGACTCGATGTGTAATCATCGGTCACATATCCGCGCCCGCGCACAATGTCAGACACGTGTTCTTCGCGTTTGCTACGAGGGAAATACGCTGAGTTGGTTTTTAGATTTTCGCGAGTTTCGGATTACGCGCTTCGCCGCTCTTCAGAGATTGCGATCGACACAATAATTAAAATACGAATCATCTATGACGTTACATAGAAGTTTTTCATACGTCTTTGTTATTCGTAGCAATAGGACTTTAAAGATTCTCCCTCCTTTTAGTCTTTTCAAACATAAAAGAAAAATTATAAATAACTTTTCATAGAAACAGACGTTATTTATTTATTTTTTTATAAAAACCATTTTTTGAAAGAATTGAAAGTATATCGCATTATATCATAACATATAATGTAATAAATATTACACGTAATAAATATAGAAACAACATAAATTTTTTATAGAAATTTAAAATTTTTAAGTACATCTTTAAATACATCTTTCTTACAAAAAATTATCGTATAATATATTTTTTTCAGCCACCATTTAAATTATAATTTAAACTATAATAAATGATAATATGAAATCATAATATAAATAAAATTTTAATTTAAAATATAATTTATAAATTAAGAATCTGAACAGATTTACTTTTAAAGAAAGATTGTGGATAAAAATAATTTTATTCCTGAATTTAAAAAATAAGATTTTTTTTATGCAAAAGTATTGATTAAAATCGAATCTAACTTGATTGTGAGCATATTTTAATTTTCAGTTTCCTTTGAAAAATACCCGACTCCTCTTTTGATTATAATTTTTAGTCATCTAAAAAACTGCATTTATACGTTTTTTTTTCCAAAGAAGCAGAGATTTTTTATTACAATCTTAAGTTATTTGGAAAATTTGACAGCAATTTACAGCATTATTATCACTAGAGGCAGAAAACTAGAGATTTCTTTAAAAAAAGAGTATACCTATATATAACCGTTCCATACGTAACTAGTATGAGAAGAAACTTTTCAAGAAAAAATGCCGTGATTTTGTTCGTATATTTTTTCTTAGTTCTCGAAAATTTGTGTACAGTTATAAATATATTTTTAAACAATTATATTAAAAATTTTGAAACAATTTTATTAAGAAGTTTTGCTGTTGTAGTATATTTACAAATAAAATAAAAATTAAAAATTAATAAGTTTGAAGCAAAATTAACAAAATGAATACTACAGATTTTAGCCATGTACATATAATTTTATCAAAGCATAATTAAAGATGTTTGCAAGAAATAAAAAAAAATAATGAGAGAGAGAGATTTATAAATGTAATCATTATTTTACTCAATTTCCTCTTTTTTGTCAATGGTTTTATAAATTACAGTATCTGAATTGTATGTATGTATATTAATAAGAAATATGAGTATTATATCATTCAGTTAATAGTAATCATTACAATTAGTGTTCAATGCATCGAGTTAAGAATCAATATTTTTTCTGTACAATCAATGATATGCGACTAATCGTACTTATACGAATAATGAGTGACGATGGGCCTACCAAGGTCTAGATAAACTGATGACGTGTGTATCGCGAGAAGAGTATAGTAAGACTCATTAATGAATAAATCGGCCAAGGTGGATCTTGCGTCTTCTATGTATGTGTACAAGGTGAAAGAAATAAAGGCAATAAATTGGACGATGTTACACAAATATAGATTAATCTAGGAAAAAGAAATTATGTCATATATATGTACACAACTGTTAATAATATTGAATTCTCATGTATTTTGATTTTGTTTAATTTTTGGAACACTTCGTGCAAAGACGTGATCCAATCTATTTAAATATACGAGTCAAATCATAATAAATTTTCTTATGTCAAACTCTAAGGCCTGTCTTCACAATATATGTGGTTACCTAAAGATTAAAAATTACTAACAGATTCATTAATGAAATTCATTCATGAATTTCTTGGTTACCTTTAATCTTTAGGTAATAATATATTGTGAAATCGGGCCTAAATGGCTCAAAACACCTTACTTTTTTTATCAATGCAGTGCGGCGTAGTAAACTACTTTATAATTTCACAGTGTTAGTCCGATTGTTCGTCCATTTGTTCGTCTGCAAGATTTCTCAGAAATGTCTTGACTTTTCCAAATTCAGTTTTCGACAATAGATAACGAGGATTTGCTAAAATATAATCGGTTGATCATAAAGGATTCAAAAGTTAAAGTGTTAAAGTCAGTTTTAATGAAATTCTTCTATTAGATTTTTCATTGCGTTATTTATACATCCATTGCGAGGGAATTATTATATGTATTCATTTTAAGTGTAAAAATTTTTGGGAATTTCAAATACGAGCAGACCTTATTACAATATAGACATGAATGCCGACATTGCAAGCCAATGCTAAAAAGAAATTATAAATTTTACACAACACTACTTTACACTATTATTTTCGATAATCTTTCTGTTTTCTAAATAAAAAATAATTTAAATTATTTTGTCACTGAATATGGAATAATACATAGACTAGCATAAAAACATATCGTATTATATGTATATTCAGATGTGAAGAGAAAGAAAACGAAGTGCAAAAAGTACAAATGATGCGAACAGACCATATGTATCATATACTTTCTTTTTTTATCTCCATTGAAGAAAAGGAAGATAATAAGCATGAACACATGTCGACACATAATATCAAGTCAAAGCTTAATTAAAATTGCAGATTTTGGACAGTATTAATCCATAAAGGGCAGTTGAAAATTTCATTTTAATTACACTGTTAAATCTATAGTGTCAAATTTAACTTAACGTGAATCGCCACTGCTTTTACTCAATCATATCGTTATTTTATACCAAAACGATAGTTAAATTTGACACTATACAGTATCAATTTAACACTATATAGTGTCAAATTGACACGGTATAGTGTCAAATTTAACTATCGTTTTGGTAAAAAATAACGACATATTTAGTAAGAGCAGTGGCGACTCACGTTAGGTTAAATTTGACACTATGGATCTAACAATGTAAGAAATGAATTACTTTAAACGCAATCGACATTACAAAAAATTATTATAAAATGCATCTCCGTAGATTTTTTAAGTCATATCATTCAAATTTTATTTAATTTTTATTTTTATTAAACAATATGATATCCACAAATTTGGTCCGATGAAAATAAATCTAATTAAATAAGAGAAGCCCTATATTCGGTCAAAGTGGACTGACAATGAGAGATCCGCTTTGTTGACCGAATATAAAATAAAATTTTCCTTATTTAATTAGATTTATTTATAAAAAAATATTATTTGATTTAACTTGTTTTTTATTGTACGCAATTCGTGAAAGACTAATATGATATTTTTTGTTACGAGGTAAAATGACGATTTTTCCTTATAGAGGATATTATATCTAGGAAACGCTGGAGCGGGTATCGATTTTCGCGAAATAGGAGACGATGGACAGTCGACTAGTGGAGTCAATCGCAGATGCTGCCTCATCCATTAAATGCCGCCTTATATCACGCAGGCGATATAGGTCGCGCACGTGCAGCGGCATGCGTTCTGCGAATTTTCCGAGACTCATCGAGTCGAAAACCAGATGACGAAGTTGTGGTTCCACCCACGCGAAGATCGAATTCCGAACGAGGTGTCTCGACGCGCTTCGTTTAGACTACAGACTTCAAACTTCATTTTATAAGTCCACGGACTTTTTGATTGTTTTGAGATTGGCAACAACCAAGTCGCGTAACATAAAAACAATCTGAACATTTGCGTTAACACGAAACGTTTTTTTTTTATCGAATTAATTTTTAGGTTTATTATGTATTTGATTAATTATTACACATTTTTAATTAATTTTTAAATAAACTTCCTTTTAACAAATTCCAATATATATATTTAAAAATTGATTATTTTATATTTAATATTACAAATTAAGGTAATGATTTTATGTAAGAGCAATTGACTTGTAATCGACAGTTTCCTGATTGTCATCCTGTATATGCATCGGTTTTATAAAAGATTGGATTGGAGAGTTAAAATCATTTCATTTATTCATTTATTTAATAGTTAATATTGAAAATTGAAAAGATATAATATTCATCAATATTATCTTGATTCCTAATTGCTTGACAAAATAATAAAATTTGATAAATCAATCAAAGCAAAAAATAAATAACAAATAACTCTATTATTTGACAAAAAACATTGGCCGCAGCAAATCCATATTCCGTAATCACTTTCCTGATTTTTTTCTTTCTCAATTAAGAATTCCAAGTTCTTTGGAGAGAGAGAGAGAGAGAGAGAGAGAATTCCGAGTTCGCTGAGTCAAGCAACGTTCATTGAAAGCTTACCTTTGAACGAATTTCGGACGAGAGTCATGCTCATATTCACGGGAGCCGGTGCCTTGAGGGTTACGTCCGGCGGCTCCTCTTCCTCCTCTTCCTCCTCCTCCTCCTCCTCCTCCAGCTCCGGCTTGGGCTCCTCGACGTCGCGGCCAGGTTCCGTTCTCCGGTGGAGGGAGGCGTCAGCTCGATTTTCGCCTCACGACGACGAGTTCGTTGTCCATCGGCGTTCTAAGGCACAGCGGCGCATCAACATCGCTGCAATTTCTTCTTCTTCTTTCTCTCTTCTCAAGTCGCCTCTCTCACGTACTTTCAACTTGAACTCTCGCTGCCCTCGCGATACCTCGTTGCGGCGCGCGCATGCGGAGGTCCACCGTTATCACTCCCTTGTCACCCGATCATCTATCCTCTCTTCATCGCTATCACCAGCTATCGCTACAACCATGTGATCTATCGTGGTTCAAGACACAGACTGACGAGACGAATCGCTCGTTTCATCGTCGCGCCACGGCTACGTGAACTCCGACGACGGCAATGACGTTGGGCGTCGTGACTATACGTGACTACACGGCCGTCCAGTGGAACGGCACACTACCGCTCGACGAAGTGCCAACCGACAACGGACGTGGAAAACACCCGCGTCACTGCTGCTTGATCGCGCTTATCCCGCGGTAGTTTAATCGACGCGGACGATGACGATGACGAGGAAGAGGCACGAAATGCGAAGAAATACGTGGAGGCTGTGCGAGAACGACAAAAACGAGAGCGCTGCTCTTGACAGGACGGAGAATTCCAGTTATGCGAAATTGTGCTCCAACCAGGTTGCTCCGTTTTCGGAGATTCTCCTTGGTGGTGCCCGAAGAGGCAGGTAAACGAGACCGGAGACACGCTTTATGTGGGAAGTCTCCCGCGGGGATTCCAGGTGAGCTTGGTGCCAGGGTTCGCACGAGTGCCATCCACGCCGGAACTTGGAAACGTCAGTCTCGGTCGCGCGTCATTCCCTCCGGCTCTTCTCCCTCGCGTCTTCCTCGCGTCTCGCCGTCGCGACGCTCGTAATTTTGTGGTCGTTGTCGAGACGGTGGACGGTTGAAACGCGCGCGACGACGCGCGACGGTGGCCACAATTACGCTTTGTAAATAATCATTTCACTCGCGCGCACGTATGTCTCGCGGGATCGCGCGGAAACGCCGAAAAGAGAGGGAGAGAGAAAGAGAGAGAGAGAGAGCGAGAGAGCGAGAGAGAGAGAGAGAAAGGGAGAGACAAACGAAAGATAGAAAATGAGAGGGAAAGGGGGAGAGAAAAAGAGAGAAAAGGGAGAGGCTACTCCGTGCTCCGGGTATATTCGCGGGAATATCGCGCACAAGAATGTTGCACGCTCCTTTTTTCTTACTCTTCTTGTAGTATCGCTTCTTCTTTCTTCTCCTCCATCTCCTCCTCTTTTACCTTCTCCTCTCCTCCCTACTCCATCACTTCCTCCTCCACTTTCGACACCTTCTCGTTTGAGACGTCCGTCTTCGCACCACGCACCACCGACGCACAGGAGAGAAAGAAAAAAAAAGGGAAGCACTCCGGATTGCGATCACGGTGCGAGAAGATGGACAATGACGGTGGGTGACTACACGCGCGGAACAGGGGAGGACCGAGAGAGAGAAAAGGGTGCGGGGAAGGGGACGCGAGACGGATGCGAGACGGTCGAGAGTGTGAGGAAGAAACGCGAGACGGAAGAAAAGCGAAAGAGAAGTGAGAGAGGATGGCTGTGCGCGCGGATGGTGTGTCAAGACATAGCAGAGACGGAGCGGGCAACAAGGCAGAAACGGTTCGGTGCGTTACTAGCAACCTCGCGCCGAGTAGAGAAGCCAGAAGCACCGGGTAAAACACGATTCCCTAACTAACACACACGGAGACGGATCGGGGACTGCTTTGGAGCAGTTTACTATAGGATGGGACACGGATGGTGATGGCGGCCGTGTAGCCGTAGCAGCCACCGCCCCCATACTCGTTCTCCGTCTATCTACTCTATCTCCGTCCCGCTCGCCGTCCACCCTCTCCCCCTCCAACGTGAACTAAACCTCCCCTCTTCTACATCGGGTCTCTTTCTCTCTCTCTCTCTCTCTCTCTCTCGCCCCTCCGACGATATAAACGACGATGGACACGCTGGAATATCCCTCCACTCTTCGCTTTCCTACACGTTCCCTCGTGGGCTACCGGCCGATGAGATCTCTCCCCCTGCATCCTCCGCCTACGGTGTGCCGCCGCTGTCCCACGTCTCACCCCCTCGGATTCCCTCTCTCGCCCGCCACCACCCTCCACCGACGCGCAGCCCCCTTCCCTCTTGCTCTGCCGCTCGCCGTTCCTGGGACAGCGAGATGTTATCCTCGAGCGATTCGTGCGTGTGCTATATATCCGTTTGTCCGCCGTGCCGTGCCGTCGCCACATCCCCTACCTGCGTCGCGTTCCCCTGCGTCAACGTCGCCGGCGTGTGCGTCGGCCGCAATCAAGGCTAGGAGCGTATCCACCGCCGGCACGTGCCCTGCTCCACATTGGTCAAGCGGCACGAGCGTAAGGTCGTAAAAAATTATGGCGTACACTTCATGTTGTTTCACCGCTTAAAACGTTTTCGGTCATTCTAAAAATATCTTACTTATGTGTGACACATTTAAGAATATTTATTCTATATTTAACCACGAATATGAGATTCATTTTAGTTAAGCTGATTTATACATTTGTACATTTTACTGTACTGTAGATAAAATGAAACGAGCATGTGTATAAGATAAGTATAAGATAAATATTGAGACAAATAATTAAAAGCTTGAGATTTTTATTCGACTGTAAGGATCTATCCAGACAAACTCGCATAGAGCCGTATAAATGTTCATAAAGAAAATTAATCTAATCGCATTTTACGTACGTTTTTGTAAGAAATAGAAAGAAGTAGAAATGCGTTTAGATAATTTTTTTTATGCGCACATTTATACGGATATGTATAAACGACAAACGTGTGCATAAAGAATTTATCTGGATATATCCTTCTATATTCTTTCAAGCTCTATGAAGAATATACTAACAATGACAATTAATCATAAGAAGAATACATTGACAATGAATCATAAGAATGAAATTACAAATGAAGTATTTTAAAATATTTCTTACGAATGGAAATCATGGTATTAGTACGCTATGTTGACTAGAGAAAATTTTCGTGAATAAGTGATCTACATCCATGGCATTGCTTCAAAGTTTGTACAAGAAGTTATTTTCATTTTGCAAAATACTGAATTTACTTTTAATAATTGAGGACTTTGTAATAAAATAACTTGAAAGTAAAATTATACCGATATTCCAATATATTCAAATACAAGTTTAATACATTGATTCTTTATTATTATTGCGACATTTGATTTATCATTATTTTATATCTCCTAAAATTAATGTAGTATATATAGTAATGAAACGTTGAGCTACCGTGATGATTGTAAATCGATCAATCATAAATTGGAGGGAAGTCAGAATTAAAAAATTTTTATGGTTTATTCTCATATCGACAAAAAAGCAGTTGTTATCGCAACGTGCTCATTAACCGGAAACCATAGTATCTTCGGCTTTAGCTGATACGCAGACGTTGTTGCTTCATTCTTTATCTGGCAAATGAAAGGATGCGTACGTTATATGGAGATGCGTATGCGGTATGGCCATTTCCTTTGAAGCACGCTGGTTCTCTCTTTCTCTCTTGAACTTCGTAGAGAGAAAATGATGCGCCCAACGTGCATCTTGGAAAGAAAAGAATTATAATACGGTTTGACCTGCAAGCTATCATGAATTTGTGGACGGACAGAAGTTGCTTTCTTTAACTCTTTTGACATCGAAATTTCGACAGAGTTATTTGGTATTTAACATGAGTTTATTTCACGACGTTATTGATAGATATACTATACACTGAGAACATAAAGCTGCTGTTTAAAAAAAATATTAGTTGATTCAACTATAAATGCAGTTTTCGTACCTATACTGTATACAGTTTTAAAAATTGATGTAAGTATACTATATCTTTTAAGAGCACACTTCTGTATTATATAATCAGTAAAGTGTTAAATAGTTATAAAAATGTTGAATAAATATTGTTGTTACAGCAGAAAAAAGATGAAGAATATTCCTATATAAGATGAATGATTTCTATACATATAAGTAATTGTTTGATGAAATATATTTCTTTTGGTATTTAATAAATATACATTGCAGGGTTTTTTATAGATTAAATAAAAAGAAATATTAAGAGATAAATAAAATTTCTAGATGAAAGCAGAAAAAGTTTCGACTTTTTTAAAATTTAAACTTAAGTCTTGAGATTTTAAGAGACTTAATTTTCGATTGAAATGTATAAGTAGATATAAATAAATAACTAAATTTTAAGAAAAGGATCAATAAGAGTAAATCAGAATATTTTGATTATTTATTAGTTAAAAATTAATTAAATCTAATCAATTTAAATCTTGCAACACGTATCTATCATATTATACAAATGTATCATATAATATATCATATAGCATAAAGCGCAGAATTGATTTGTTTAAAATATGTGTAATTGCACAACGAAGTTAAACGCAGAACGTTAATTATGCGGTGAGAACGGAGAAGTAGCAGAAATAGCACGCGATAAGGTTCAGTTATCTGCGTTTAATTCCCTTGACTTTTCACCGCTGTAAGGCAAATGATACGTCCGCAAAGTGTGCACGGGAATTGTTTATTCTAACTAAGCGCATAACGCGTAGAAGGATGTGTCTATGAAATTTCAAACACATCCTTTTTAATGAATAATTGTTAAGGACTAGATGTTAATGATATACTTTTTTCATTATAGACAACGATTATGTACTATATACATATAAATGAATTAAGACTTTATTCGGAGTCTCTCGGTTATAAAAATGTATTTATTTTTATCGTTATCCTGCTTATTATTCTACTTCCGATTTTTTCTTTGTATTATTTTATATTTAATATATTTAAAGAGAAACAAAATAAATTCTTTTCAGTTTTTATTTAAATTCTTAAATCACACATAAAAGTTTTTTGGAAATGTATATATAGGCAATTGTTTTGATTTTATATTTTATTATAAAGTCATAGAGATCTATTTGTAATTATTTTCATGGATTATATAGGTTTATATGATTTAAAAATGAACCATATAATTTTCAGTAATTTTAAACTCAAAATATTATTTTGAAAGATTAATATCTACTGACTCTTAATGTATTCTTGAAATAAAGTTTATACATAATTATTTTTTCCTGAATTATTGGTTTTCTAAGAAAGGAGAGCAGATATATCTTGTATTACAAGAAATCATTGATGAAACAGGATGTAAATAAGATAACAATGTGAAATGCATTATTATCATATCTATCAAGAGATGAGGACGTTATGCTGAGTTTTATGTATGTTATCATGTTGTTATGTATGTTAACTGTACGCGATTAATAATTTTTCCGATAAGCAATGCTTTAATCACGCTCGAACTCTTCTAAACGTCACATTGCTGTCGCGCGATGATGGGAATAAAGATTCCCGAAATGTGAATCGCCGGGTCTATTTTTGAAGGTGACATTGGGTTTACTGGCGATACATTATACAATCTCTACGATAAAATATTCACGGGACAACGCGCGAGATACGTATCGCGAGCTTTTGTCGTGTTTTCATCTCGCGACCGAATTGTAGTTAATCAATCGCTTAGCAG